TACTAACCGTGTTTGGAGGAAGAAGAATGATTAGAACAAGAGCGGGACCCAACGCAAAGCAGTGCGGCATGGGACAAATATTTAAAGCTCATTGCGGGAGCGGGCGGGAGATAAGCGGACTAAAATCGTGTTTTAAAAGGTAAAATAAAATGTAAAATAAAGTCATAAATGATCAGTCTATGTCTATCATATATATACATCACAATGCGTGGGATATTGCAGCTCGTGCCACCTAACGGGCGTCACGCTCTATGCGGTGGATAATCGGCCAGTAATGTTTTCAGCTAAGCACTGCGTGTTTAATTCCTCAAACTAATGACACGAATTGCCTTGAGCAGAAGGCGAGTGTCGGAATTATGCGGGAATTGCGGGCGGGAGCGGGACTGAAAATCATAATTCTTTGCGGGAGCGGGACTGAACACTGCGGGACAGGACTGGAAAATCTGTCCCACGCAGGCCTCTAATTAGAACCACCCCTACTGTGAAGCATGGGGGTGGTAGCATCATGCTTTGGGGTTGTTTTTCAGCACATGGGACAGGGCGACTGCACTGTTTTAGGATGGGATGAGCGGGGCCATGTATTGATAGATTCGGTGGAACAACCTCCTTCCCTCAGTTAGAGCAGTAAGGATGGATGGAGGCTGGGTCTTCCAGCATCACAGTGAGCCGAAGCACAGCCAGGATGACCGAGGATTGATGTTTACAGTTCTGTTATCAATTTCACAGCCTTTGTGTTTTTTTTTCTACGTTTTGACTTTGTTTCTGCCTTTTTCTTTTGTACAGTGACCTTGAGGGTCCCAAAAGGCGCATTTTAAATAAAAGAAAATGTATTATGAATTTTCTCAGGTTTTCAAATACTTGGACAGCTGAATCATATAGTTTAAAAAAAAAAAATCATATTGTGATTTCTGGATTATTTTTTGTTTAGATCCTGACTCTCACAGTGGACATGAACCTATGATGATAATTTGAGAAACTCCATTATTTCTAAGGTGGAGAACCTGCAAAATAGGAGGATGTTAAAATACCTATTTTCCTCACTGTATTTCACAACTAATCTAGAAATCAAACGCTTTGGATGAACGAGCAAAATTCCTCCCATCAACTTATCGTGTCCCGTTGTTCGTTTTTAAAAAAGGAAATGGAAGCTATTCCTGCTAAACCGAGGCAGCCATGTTTGTTCTGCTTCAGCCGCTTCTGGTGGACGCGCTGACATCATTCACATCACTGCATTTTTATTGGTCCAAAACATTTTTTTGTAACAAGGCTAACCAGCTGTTGGATTCTGGAAAGATGCATTTCGGGAGTTTGTGAATTCATAAATATCCTGACAATTCATTGCGTGACTAAAAATGGGACAATTATAAGAGTATAACGCTGCAAAGGATTTATTTTTTCATAGATTTTCTACCTAATGATCTGTAAAAAGAACATAAAGCTTCTCATTAAAGTATCAAATAGAGGCAGATAACTTTAAATCTGTTATGGTTCTCTTCTTTATTGTGAAACTTTGATGGTAAATGATCCTAATTTACAGCAGAAATGTAACAAAGAGTTTTAACTAAAACGGTTTTATTGATCCAGATCCAGCTGAAGCTGAGTTCTCTGAGCAAAAAGCCCAGTTTATGCTCTGCTGCCATCAGGAGGGATTATATCAAATTTGTGTTTATCAAATGTTAGAAATTAGGGAAATTTCTGGTGACGGTGGTTCAAAACGGGGACGCCTGGTCAGCCTGGAGGTGGTAAAGAAAGGTTTCTGCTGAAGGTGTGTTTAGCTAAACAGTCAGTTAACAGGATAAAGGATTCATTTGGGAAAAGTGGCAGTGAGTGGGACAGAGGTTTCCATTCCTGGTTCTGCTCATTTCTGCTTGGATAAGAAGAAAACATGGAGTGGAGTTTAGACCCGTCTACAGGAACGTCACTCTCCGCCATTTAGATGGCGCCGTCAGAACCTCCAGAGGTGAAGTTAATCTTCAAACCGTCCCAACGATCTTCTTTCATTAACACTTTACCCCA